ATTATAATATATATATAAATTTAGGAGATTTTTATGAATATTCAGCATAATTGTACTCTTACCTATTTATATATATAATTTGTAATGTTATTGTTTATAATCACTTATTATATGCATTAACATTTTCTATATGATATTATTACTCTCACCTTTTTCGATTATTTTGAAGCCTTTGAATGAAAGGCTTTATATTTATTTATATAATTTATTTTTTTAATTTTTAAACATTTATTAAATATATCAAAATTGTATATATTACATTATAATTCTCAATTATATTATAATTCGTAATATATTCTTCATCTATTTAGCACCAATGAGTGAATAGCTTTATATTTAGTTTATAATGTCATAATCTATATTTACCTCACCATTTTATATTTTAAATTGACTGGGAAACTTATTGCTTTTCTGCTCGTTAAATTTTATAAGATCTGCAGAACTCATGAAGAAACATTATTAGTCAGAGTAGAATTTAAATTTGCTTAATTTACCACGCCCCCAAGAGCACAAATAAATCACAGAAATATCAATCGATAGAGAGAAGGCAATATATATTTATATTTTCTTTTACTGAATTGGACTTCATAGCGATTTAAAATTAGCAATTGAATAGAATGCAAGATAATTAAATCTGTTACATAATCAAAGAATGTGCTGTCTCATTATTGCCTTTGCCTATCTTGTGAAGACGGCGAGCTCAGAGTGCAGTGTGCATTAGAGTTCAGCCAGTGCTGGCTGCAGCTCGGCATGATTAATGGACAGAAGTGATTTCAGCCGAAGGCGAGGCTCTGGGTCAGGCTCAGCCTGAATGTGCGACAGGGGCGCAGGGGCGCCGGGGGTCAGGGATTCAGCTGAAGTGTTGAGCAATTATAAGCTAAAGCCTGCGAAACATTAAGAATCTCTGGCAGGCGTCAATCACAAGCCAGCCAAAGTGCATAATAGAAACATTTTCGGGCGTCGACAAACGCACAGAGGCCAAATTAATAAAATCAAAGCGAGTGAGGGAGCACAACATGAGAATTTAATAAAAACTGCGAGACACAAGTGCAACACATGCGTGGGGGTGGTGTGGTAGCCAAGGGCGGGTGGGGGTTTCAAATAAGATTAATGATTGCAATAAATCTAGCGACGGGCGGACCGAGGGACAGACCGCCAGATGGACAGACAGCACGCTAATAGTGCCACCAGCAAGGACACAAAGGATACACTCTCTGCCGCTGCTAATAATGCGCAAGCAAGTCCAAGAAATCGGGCCAAGCTTACGGCTCACCAGCAGGCCGCCCGTGCAGCAGCCCCCACCCCCCGCCCCGCCTCATGCGAGCAGAGGACTAACGTACCATTACGCTGATTAACACACGCGCCAGCCCCGCCAGGGGTTGGTCCTGCCCCTGCGACTCCTGCTGATAACGTCGCACAACATGCCGTAAGCTGTCCGACTGCCGACTGCCGGCTCCGATTGCTGTCTGCGGATTGCTCATTTGGCCGTGTCCCTGGCCCTGGCCCTGGCCCCGTGGGGTGCACTTGCAGAGGATGCGAGCTAGAGAAATTCATCATCTTGCTGTGTCGCTGGTGCCATATCCTTAAATCTAATTACGACTTAATCGACGCCAGTGGCGACAGTTGCAACCAAATCGAGCCACAGCCACAGCTACCGTCACCAACCACCGAGGCAGCAAGCCACCGAGTCACCGAATCACCCGAGCCACCCTGGCCAAGCTTATGACGCTCAATTGATAAAGTCAAACCCCGGGCACAGGGTGCACATGTGCCTGCATGTCCTTCCACCGTTTTCATGCTACTGCTGCATATTCTGCATCCCCCCGAGGATTCTCGCCAACTGCGTCGCTTACATGTGTTAATCACAGCCGGCGCTGCTCGTCTTTTGTCTCTTTTGTCTCTCGGCCAGCCGCGCGCTTTGTTAGTTTTAATTGCCTAAAAAGAGCTTCACACAATCCCAGCAGCCGCAGCAACAACAAACAGCATGACTTTCCATGGAGTACACAGCGGGTTTTATAGTTCTCGGTTCATATTGCTGCTGATACCCTTAAGACAAGGAATTTATCCATCATAAATATTAATATCTTAACTAAAATATAATGTTCTCAAGTTATATATATATATAAATTTGGCTATTGATAGCAAATTATGCTTGCTCTTTAGATTATTGTTATTAAATATTATTATAATATAAATAATTTTGAATTATTTTTAAACAACACGGTATACTTCGTGTTATTGTCATAGTTTCGCTGCTGTTTTCCCTCCCTAATATTGTAAGATTTGTTTTATAGATTTAATAAATTTGCCAGATTTATAAATTGATAAATAGCTAAATTGACAAATATAAAATACGAAGTATATATATAAATAAAGATATAGAAAGATAGATATGTTGGTTGATATTTTGGTAGATTCATAAATATAGACAGATAGATAGATAGAAATATATATAGATAGATAGATGGATAGCATAGATTTCTAGATAGAAAAATAGAAATTGAGATAGATAGGTAAATAGGATGAATATAAAGTATATATAGATAGATAAAAAGATGAAAAGATAGACAAACAGATATTTAACAGAAATAAATAGATGGACATATACCTAGATATATAGATTCATAGAATAGATATAAAGTTAAACAGATAGATATATTGAGCGATAATTAGGTAGATAAGTACATGTATTTACAGATAGATATATCGATATATATATAAGTACATATTATATTATATAGGCACATATGAAATACAGGTTAGATTAGATAGATATATGAATTGCACCATATATAGATACTTGGAGAGATAGATAGTAGTTTATATCGTATCAAATACAAGTCAAAGCTGATGCGTGCCTTCGTAGACCCCACTCACAGGGTATACTACAGCTAGTGTTTCGTATTGGCCCATGAAGAGAAGCGTCAACATTTGGCGTTAGTTTTGTTTTGCATATTGTCCTGTCCATTGTCTCATTGTGTGTTGGCTTGTCTCAATGCCGCTTTTGTTTTCTAACACCCGCAGCGACACACATGATGAGTGTGTGTGTGTGCATGTGTGGGTGGGTGTGCGTGCGTGCAAATATTGTTGCATACGTGTGGGCGTAAATGAATAAAATGGCTCGAGCCGCCGAAAAACGATAAATTCAATCGAAAATCGTTACATGTCAATGCATTAATCGGCCATAATCCCATTATGGCGCAAGGATATGCCGGCAAGTCCTCTCAATGTCCCTCTCACTCGCACTCTCCGTCTCTCTCTCTCTCTCCATCACTCTTTCGCTCCGCCTCTATCTCTACATATATCGCGGCGCGAGAAAAAATATTGCTACGCATCCTATTGTTGTTGTTGTTGCTGTTGT